GACAGATGACAAAGAGGAACAAATGTTATCTCTACCTGGCTGTGACCTGGCGACTCATTTCCCTGCTCTAGGCAAGCCTTAGTGGTTGGTTTTTCTTACCTGAAAAAGAGCAGATTGGGCAAGATGGCCCTTAGAGCTTCCTGTCTATGATTTTATAAAATATGCCTTCTTCATGGGCTCAAGATAGTCAAAACATGGTCCTTAACTTACACATAATACTTCGTAAGATAATACGTAAAAAAAAACAAAACTATAGAATTCACCCTTTCCAACATTTTCCATGCCTTCATAATCGTGCTCATGAATGAAACGGCCTGTGTACAAGTACATATGTGTGTTGAAGCTGTCTCACTAGCCCTCTCTATATAGTTTGTTCAACAATATTTAGCCACTGAGCACTTGAAACATGGCTAATATCACTAAGGAACTGAATTTTTAATTTAATTTTTATTCTAATTCAATTTTAACACAAAAACTGATGCAGCATAAAATCTCTTCAGTAAGCACAAGTTTACTGCTTAAATAGAACTCCTTTTCACTTTAACCAGGGCGCTACCTACAAGCGGATATGTGCTCCAAGGGTCAAATCCACATCAGCTTATGTAGACTTAGAATTAAAAATATGTACATGTAAAATCCTCATTAACAACTTCACACTGGCTACACATTAAAGTCTGTATTGTTGGGGGTCAATAAAATTAGTTTACCTATTACTTTTTACTTATTGAATGTGGCTACTAGAAATTTAGAATTACATGTGGTCAATATTCAATCCTATTGGGCTGAGTGAAAAAGAGAAAGCAAGCTATGCACTGGCGCTCACCATTCTCTGACTTGTGACTGTGGCTGCAATGTGACCAGCACCCCTTTCCTGCCATGATGGACTGCACCCTCAAAATATGAGTCAGAGTAAACCCATCCTCCCTCGAATTGCTTTTGTTGGTATTTTTATCACAGAAACAGGGCTAGAGTTTAAGTTTAGGGGATGGGGACACAAGTACTCATGGAACAAACCTGTCACCCACGATGCAGGCCCTTTCTGCTCAGCATGGGCTGGGTGTGGCCCTTAGGGGTGGACTGGGTGCTGGGGAGGAGTCTAGCACAGCATTTTCTGTGTCTCCTGGTGATATCATCCAGCATCCTGTCCCCAGTCCGACTTGGGGCAGGCACTGGAACCTGACAGTAGCTGCAAGGGTCACTCTGAGTCTGTTCCTGATTAGGGTGGAGGCCCAGTCCTTCCCATCTTAACCTTGGGATGTGCAGTGTGCAAGGTCCAGGACCTCAGCTTTTCTTCTCGAAACAAGAATGAGAAAAGATGTCTCCTGGACACCTCAGGCTGGGAGGACCTCCTGACACAAGGCTGAATCAGTGCTGGGAGGCCCCTGGCAAGTCCTTGAAGTAAACTCTAGGTGCAGTGTCACTGCAGGGGTGCAGCGCTGGAGGAGCTCTCAAAAAAGTTTATTTAAAGTTCACCATTTCTACAGTATGCCTTCCAGAATGTTCTCTCACTTTGCCCCCATATCCACCTGGAGGAATGCAGACTACTTCTCTATCCCCATTCATCACTCAAGGAAACTGAGGGCCAAAGAGAGCAAGTGACTCACCCCAGGTCACACAGCTAAGTGACAGAACCAGGATTTAAAGCCAGACCACCTGAGTTCAGGTCCACCACGTGCCCCTTTCACATTGCTCTCTCCATATCACGAAGCCCAAGTTACTTGGGAATGAGGACACATCAAAGTCACTGCAAACCTGGAAACATAGTTTTCATCCAAGAGCCTCTCAGGTCTCAGATCTTTGTCCTAGGTCATTTCTCATCTCCTTCTAAACTGCTTCTCCTCCTCCTTCCTCTTCCTCTTCTTCCTCCTCCTTCTTTCATCTTCTTCCTCTTCCTCTTCCCCCTTCTCCTTCTCTTCCACAGGGTTTCTCTGTGTAGCCCTGGCTGTCCTGGAACTCATGCTGTAGACCAGGCTGGCCTTCAGCTCACAGAGATCCACCTGCCTCTACCTCCCCAGTGCTGGGATTAAAGGTGTGCACCACCACTACCTGGCTCCTTCCAAGCTTCGTCTAGCTCATACCCCAAATCAAATCTCTCCAGCTTTAATATGAAGAGCAAAGACTAAGAGTCTGGCTGCTCTCTTCTGTAATAGTGTTCTCAGGGTCAACCCCTTCTCCCTTGCAGGTTGGTACACCTGGTGAGATGCTTTCCAGAGTTCTTCTGGTAACATGTGTATAAATGATCCCCATCAGCAATGATGGAATGTTACCATGGCTGCCGGGCCTAGGAAACTAGGAAGCATCAGCACTGCCACATATGTACATATATTGAACACATACATGTGCGCACACACACATACACACGTGGTGACACAGATCTATAAACCCATACATCTGTCAACCCAGCACTTAATAGGCTATGCCTAGAGTGTCATGAGGTCTAGATCAGTCTGAGCTACATTAGTGAGATGCTGTGTGAGAAAAACACTGGCAAATAAACAAGTAAACCCTGAAAATGAACAAGTGGACAATAACACTTACGTCCAACCACTGGGCAAGCCTATTGTCCAGTGAGGACTCAAATGTCAAAAACTTCTGGTCAGTCCAACAAGAGTCGCCAAGTTCAAGCAAAAACCTTTAGAATTCCTCCCCTAGGACGTCTTCGTCCTCCCCCAGGAAGTCCTCCTCTCCCCTCCAAGAAGTCCTTCTCCCCTAGGAAATCCTCCCCCTTCCAGAAATCTTCCTCCCTTAGGAAATCCTCCTTAGACCCAGCAAGTATGGTCTGAGCATGGTCTTTGAAAACTTGACTCTTTTCTCATTTCATAAACCCTTAGTGGTCCTCAGCCAGACATCCCAAGCCCGATGAGGCAGCCTGGAAGTGAAGGAGCCATTTAAATGAGTGACTCTGGCCTTCCCAGGAAGATGGGGTTGTCACCAGGAACCTATACCTGCCCACCTTTAACTTAATCCTCTACTCCTGGAGATTTGGCTGAAATAATTAATTCAAAAGAAAAAGGAAAAAACATTGGGAAGAAAGTTTTTTACCAGGAAAATTTGGAATGGATAACAGCTGGAAAATTATAAGCAAATGTCCAGCAATAGAGAAACACTGGTGTATAATTTAATGAAATACAATATAGCTATTTAAATGGGAAAAAGGGGGCTATATGTGGAATTTTGTTAGTTGAAGAAAAAAAGTAGAACAGGAAATTGTAAAATTATATACAAAGAGATAAAGATTGGAGGAACCACAGAGAAACACAAGTAGCTGTGTTTGGACTGAAGGATTATAGATGCATTCCCTTGCAGTTCCAGTGGGGCTTGGGGTGAGGGGAGTGGGGTGGATGATAATAAATAGCCATTTAAAGAAGTGACTCTGGCCTTCCCAGGAAGATGGGATTGCCACTATCTGCTGAGAATCAGGATGCTAACCAGTGACCCTTAGCCTCAGTGCATGCTGTGTGGAGTGTCCACGTGACTGACCGTCCCCGGGGAAGGAGAGGAAGGCCTTCATCAGCCCCCTCTCTGGGTCAGGGAGGCAGAGACAGTAACTAGTGCACTTTGCAAGGGGGTTCATGGGTGAAACACAGAGGACACTGGGCCCTGGAGAAGGGGAGAGCAAGGGCAATTCTATAACACAAGAATCAAATGCTAGAGGATGCAAATTCCATTCTGCTGGATAAATTTATATCTTGTCAACATACAGGTAAGTCTCAAATTAGAGCAATCTCAAATGCCAGGTGGTCCATTCAATCTGGAGCCAGGTTAAGGAGACTTCCTGGTTCACAGATGACTTACCCACAGTCACAAAATTAAGAATTTCCGAGAAAAACACACCACTCCTCTGCTGATGGACAGATGCTTACAGAATATTTTTGTTTGTTTTGGAAGGGTTGACTTTTTGAGGGGGGGCAGTTGTAGCCTTGGTTGTAGCCTAGAACTCACTCTGTAGACCAGGCTGGCCTCGAACTCACAGATATCCACCTACCTCTGCCTTCGGAGCGCTGGGGTTAAAGGCGTGTGCCACCACCACCCAGGCAAAATACTCTTATCAAGGGAACTTGCTCATTGGCTGGATAAGACTATTGTTACTGTGCCATAGCCTGACTCAGACTCTACTACCCACCAGAGGCCACTTGCTCATTCCATGGGGGGTTTATTCAGGAGGACATTAGGGTGACCAACCAAGCTGGAGTTTTGGTGTCGCCATCACAAGGATGTACCTCCTCATGTTCATGGCTGTCTGCACAAGCCGCTTAGATGTGCAGCCTTGCTATTTCCCAGCTATAGGATGCTGACTTGTTGGTGTTCTGATCTGTAAAATGGGTATGCTAAGAGTCTCTGTGATTGTATTATGATAAAGGTGAAATAGGGTAAACAGGGTGAATATAAAATAACCTTTCCAAGTTAGTAAGACTCACTGAAGCCAGGACTGAGCAAGATGACAAACACAAGACACCTTGTGAATGCAGAATATAGCTTGGATCTTTAAACAGTAGCTACTGAAAAGTGAGGTGGGTTAGTGGGCAAACCATAGCTCTCACTGTGATAACACAAGAAATAAATACAGTGCCAGTGTAGTGGGTTTCCCGTGGGGAAGGGCTAGAGAAGGGTTTTGGACGAGTTGAAAGAATGTTCATCCTCCTTCTCTTTGAGACAGACCCCTCTCTGACAGCATCTGCTTCCCAAGCTACCCTCTGCTCCTTCTCACCCTCATAAATGCTCCTCCGGCCAAGAAATAAGCCAGAATCCCTGTTTTCTTTGATCTCCAAGATCCCATGAAAGTAAGAGTTAGGCCATTACTTGCTACCACTTGGCCCCATTTTAGGAGAAGGATGGGCTAACTGAGGCAGAGGGAAGCTGCCCACCACTAACTGCATCTTCTCTGGGCTGAGCTTTGGTCTGGTTGCTGTTATCCCTGGACCTGCGGCCAGAGCTTCCACCCTGACCTATCTCTGCTGCCCATCCCACCGCCCCATCATGGGTCCTGGCGTCCCACTCACAGCTCGAGGATGAGCACCACGTCGGTGCGGTTCTCATAGACGTCGTGCAGCGTGATGATGTTGGGGTGCAGCACCTGCCTCAGGATGCTCACCTCCCGCTCGATTTCCTCCCGGCACACGCCCCGGCGGCTGGCCCGGCTCTGCCTCTTCTTGATGAACTTGGCTGCATACTCCAGTCCTGTGCTCTTCTCGCGGCACTTCTTCACAATGGCAAACTGGCCGCTGTGGGGATATGGACCCAAACAGTTACGTCGCAGCCGCTGGAGAAGCAACCCTTGCCGCCAGCTACCAAGACAGCCCACCAGGTTATTCTACCAAGACAGAAAGACATATCGCTGGCCAGTGGCCCTGCCTGGATGACATGCAGTGACTGTGATAAGGCAGGACTCGCATTCCCTTCTATTACAAGACCTTGACATCTGACTAGGATGAGATGTTAATGATGTTGCTGATATACAAAGGCAAACACCAAGACCCTGGAAAGTATTGGTTTGGTTAGGCCTTGTCCTTACAAAGCCTCAGCTAGAACCCAAGTCTAAACTGCCAGCTGAAGTCACAATGTCCATAAATAGGCTGGGTTGGTAAGAATGCTGACTAGGATGGGGTTGGGGTAAAGGTCACTTAGCAGGGTTGATTATCATCATAGTGTGAACATGGAGTTGTAAAATTTGGTAACTGGGCATAAGGAGAGGTCAAGTGATTCATGACAGAATTAATGACAAAGCCAGCTGCCCACAAAGCTTCTCAGATAGTTATAGGAGACATGACTCTGCTCAGGCTCCTTGAGACAGAGACCATGAAATGGTGTACACACCAGAGATCCAAGCAGCCCTGAGCCAGTTTCCCAGAGGGCAGCCCATGCTTCTTCATCTCTATTCAGGCCCTGAGCAAGGGCAGATCTAAATCCCTGGTGATTGCTAGTGTCCCCTCCGTACCCTCGGAAGTCCTCTCTCTCACCTTCCACGTTGCCCTGTGTCCCTCCACCTCCCCTCAAGTACCCATTGCTTGGGCGACTCAGAAAGGTTTATTACCTTCTGATTAATGGCTTAATAAAGGGCCCACTGGATCCAGAGCCCAGATGCACTTTCTTAGTGGGTCTGGTGTAAAAGTTACAGTTGTGAGAAACTGGGTATTTGTCCCAACCTCGGAAAATGGAATTGCATCTAGAGTATTCTAATGCTAGAATAATCTTTAAAGAGAGGGTCTTCTAAATAAACTGGCCTACACAAATAAAGTGAAGTCGAGTAAGCAAGCAGAGAGCCAACAGCTAAACAGCCTCTTACACAGCACTTGAGAGACATCATCAAAAGCAAATTCATTCATCTCTCCACCTTGCCCTTCACTCAACACTGTCCCAGCATGTGCCCTGCGCTGGCTGGTAAATAACAGGGAACAAAGGCAGAGACAACAGATGCAGAGGAGCCCTGGGGGAGAAGAAGACCTTAGGAACTAGGCTTGGAGCCAAATTTACATTACACCGTTCACTAACTCTAAAGTTTCAGCTATTCAGGCTCCATGTATTGGCTCTGAGCTGTCCACACACTAGGGGCTGATGCAGGTCGAGGAAGGCTAGAGTGAACATATTCAAGAGGCTGCTGGCAGGCCTGACATTTCAGAGTTCCTGTAACTGTCCTCCCACAATCCTGAGTGACTGGACTGATGGAAAAGTGAAACTTGAGGGTTTTAAGTTGTATGCATGCTGCTGGTGGTACAGGGTTAGGTTTGACATCCAAATCCCCCAGTTCCCAGCTTCAAGCTGCACTGACTAGGTCATGACCTGGGAAGGTACAAGCATGACCTAAAGGTTTCAGGTCACCTTGATGTAGTGTCTCCTTCGTCTGATAAAGGGAATGGAGCCATCTTTCTGTCATGTGACTGAAAAATTCCTCAGTCTCCTTGGTCTGATGAAGGGAATGGAGCCACCTTTCTGTCAAGCTCTCAAAAAGCAAGTGAGTATTTGCTTTTGGCTCTTAGTTTCTCCAGGGTAAGAGTGAGAATGAGGAGTGGGACAGACCTAATCTTCCTCCCTCCAAAGGGAGGCACTCCAAGAGTGGGTAACTAGGATGGAAATAAACACCAGGTATCTTGAGGCCTCTTTTCTCTCAGGAAGGGCCCTCTGCTCAGGCTCTGGGGATAGCAGGAAGGAGAGCCACTGCCCCGGGCTGCCTTCCCCCTGCCTTTGGCTGTTTCGGGGAGAGCAGGGAAAACTTTCTGGGCAACTGGGAAGGTCTCAAGGTTAGACAGCCCTGCTTCAGGGCCTTCTTTATGAGGTCATGTAGATCAGGTCACTACCTGCTCTGAGCATCCATTTCCTGGCCTGTGAAATGGGAGTCATGATTCACTGCTAGACAGCTGTAAAGGAAACATTTGTACGGTTGGCTCACCCTCAGCAGCAACAGCTGGCGTAGACCAGGGCTGAGTAAGAGATGCCTAGGCCTGGAAGTCACTGCTTCAAATGGTCTGGAATGTATGGCCAAGGGATCAGTGTCATTTTAAAAGTGCTCTTTCCCCTTTCCAGCGGGAAATAAGTATTTGTACTTAGAGCACAAGTATAAATACTTGTACTCTAAGCAATTAATTGATTCTTTCAGTTCCAGAGCAGTAGGTGTCTACCCTGGCAGCATTCTAGAACCCTCTGGGGAATTTTAGAATCAAAGAGATCTAGATTTCAAGGCCAAGACTCTGAGGTAGCTCTGGGCTATAGCCTGGGGATGAAGGTATTTAACTTTTTGTCTTATTCTGGGTTTGTGGGGGGGGGAGGAGAGAGAGAGAGAGAGAGAGAGAGAGAGAGAGAGAGACCTCACTATGTAGTTCAGGCAGGCCTTAAACTCATGATCCCCCTGCCATAGTCTCCCCAGTGCTGGTATTACAGGCATGCACCCCTGAGCCCAGTGATGTGTGACTTTCTTAGGTAGCTGTGCTGGGAACGATGACTTAGAACAGTTCTCCTTTACGGTAAAGAACCCTACTAGGGTCACTGTTACCACTGGCTGACCTTCTAGGTGTCACATTCCCTGGGAGGCCTTCTTTAATCCTGTACTATTTAAGGAGACACAGAATCAGATGGGAAAGGACCATCAGGTTCTGCTTGAGGGAGTCATGGATATATAACTGCTGTGACTGTAATCTACAAATCAAGATAGACAACTGTTACACTGGTTTTCAGGAGCCCCCATGAAAGGTTTGCTTCTAACGCCTTTGTTGGCATCAGCAAAGTCAAAGCTCTGTAGAAGAGGTTAACAGCACCTTCATGTCTTCTGACTTTGTGCAAACTGTGGTCAATATGTTTATGAACAGTGTGTGTGTGTGTGTTTAAAGAATAAGAAGACCATAAATTTGAGAGGGAATCCAGGAAGGGGAGAGGGAATGGGAGGAGTCAGAAGGAAGAGAAGGGGTGGGAAACATTGTAAATAAAATACTTAAATGAAATATTTTTCTTTGTTTTTGTTTTGAGACAGGGTTTCTCTGTGTAGCCCTGGCTGTCCTGGAACTTGTTCTGTAGACCAGGCTGGCCTCACACTCACAGAGATCCACCTGCCTCTGCCCCCCAAGTGCTGGGATTTAGGTGTGCACCACCATACCTGGCTAAAGAGTAGAGATCCTGGGGATTGAACCTAGGTACTCATACATGCAAGCATGCACTCTACCACTGAACTGTATGCCCTGGCCAGTGAAATTCTTAAAAAAACTGTGTGTGTGTGTGTGTGTGTGTGTGTGTGTGTGTGTGTGTGTGTGTGTGTGTGTGTGTGTAGAGGGGTGGAGGGAAGGGGGGAGAAGAGACAGACAACTACCCTAGGTTTCGGCAGTTAACATGCATAGTGGACTACTCCATGGACACAGCACATGCACAAAAGCTGAATCTGAGGTAGTACTGTACACGTCAGAAGGCACCTGTAGACTCCAGGGCAGGTGAAGACAGCATCAACTACAGGTTTTTGCCCCAAGAAGTCTCTGTAGCCAGAAGCTGAGGCTTGTTTGGTTTTTTTGAGACAGGGTTTCTCTGTGTAGCCCTGGCTGTCCTGGCTACACAGGACACACATAGCAACCAAGCTAGCAATGGGGGTGAAGGACAAATAGCAAGGGTTCCCCTAAGTTAGGACAGAGCCACTCAGAGTAAGATGCAGGGAAAGAACAGAGACTCCCCAGTCTTGGATTATGCAGGGGGAGTCACTGATGACACTAACTCAGAGACCACTCCCTGCCAGAAAACTCACTGTGGACAGACTCTGCAATCTCTGGGCTGGTGATGGGAGTCCTGGGTTCCAATAAGAGTCTCTCCATTAACTGACCATGACATCAAGCAAGCAGCCTATTTAACTCCTTTGTTCTCAGTTCCTTCCCTTTTCAAGTTAAGGTGTGTGTGATAAGGCCTGCTCCATCCACCTTTGAGGGTTGTTCCAGAAATCATATCTGTGAAAGGACTTGACCATCCAGGTGAGAAGGAACAAGGTGTTGGCAGGTGCCTAAAGCTGATAGGTGCCTAAAGTCATGTAGGAGGTTTATCAAGGGACAGTAAATCTACAAGACACAGAAACTATAGTCCAGTCTGTGCTGTAACAACTTGCTCTCTTGCAGTTGTGTTAGGAGCATGCCCCCACTTCCCAGGCAGAGGGCACAACTTCTCAAACACTCAACACCTCTTAGGACAGGGCAGGTTGCAGAGATGTTAGATCACCAGCAGATAGGCCTGGTTCCAGAACTCGCCTGGGCCTGGTTGCACCTCACAAGGGCTCCCCTGTTATCTGCCTAGGAACCCCCATTTAGAGGAGTATATTTCAGATAGTGTCTCAAGGTTTGGTAATGTCCCAACTCCAATACCCAACACTGCATGGAAGAGCCTGACTTAACCCTTTCAAATTCTTCACTGCCAAGACAGAATAATCCCCAAATGACCCAAATATCATACCATGAGATAGATTCATAAAGCTTTGTGGACACCGTTATACTTTGAGTTATTCTCTTTAAAGGCCAATTTTAATACACACACACACACACACACATTCTTGGCTTAATTTTCTGATTAGAATCTTGAGGGAGCTAGCAAGACAGTTCAATGGATAAAGCGCTTGCCTTGCAGGCTTAATGATTTGAGATTGGATCCCTGGAACCCACAGAAATGTGGAAGATGAGAACTGACTCCCACACATATGTCTATACACATAAAGTAATAATAAATAAAACCCGGGGGTTGAAGAGATGGCTCACTGGGTAAAGGTGCTTGC